TGAACAAAAGTTCCAACTAGTCTCAAGGGCTTGAATCTGCCTGTTGCTGATTTTCTTAGCATGTGGGTTATTTATGCAACAGCAGAAAACTTTCTAGTATGTTGTCCTGTACCTACATTTGTCAGAGAGTTTGAGTTTTCTGATGCTTCTCACTTCTTCTGGATAAACAAACGTAGGTAACACTGAGTAGGCTTTGATTTCTGCTGCCTTCTCAGAAATGGAAGGAAACACCTATCAATCTGTATTCAGTAATAACTGGAGGTGTGTGGAATCTTCAAATGGCCTCTTTAACTTGATAGCAAAGGTGTTGGAAGCCTTTGATTCTAACAAGTATCTGTTACTTCTAAACCACAATTATAATACTATGACATCCATTGGATTAACTAGTTGGGAGCTTCCCCTGCTGGCTTAGAAATGGGATTATCCACTTCATTTCCCACATGGGCATGCACACAGACATAAATGCAGTCAATTGAAATGCTATAAACAAGTGGCCCAGCCCTACCCCATGCAATATTAAATTTATTCAATTATCAGATTACTGAGACTTAACAGGGGAGGACTATTAAGAGAGAGGACCTTAACAGAGAGGACTATTGAAAATGCAAGCTTTGGTTTATACAATGGTAATATATAATGAGTGAAGAAGAAAACATATACTGTTTTCCTGTTTATCTTGCCTTCAGATATTATCCCTGAGCAATGAAGGTTATATTGTAAACCTTCACACACATATGCCTACTGTGTAGATATTTTGTGGAAACCCCTCAGATCATTGGAAAGACACATAATTATAGATAGTCTTTGATTTTTGACTACAGTCGGAATCAGTGTTTATTTTTACTGGGTTGGTATAAGTAGTTGATTCTAAGTCAATCCAGATCATAATGATTCAACCAATTGAGCTAAAGGAGCAATTCTGACCTGTTTGGATGCTTTTTGCATACACATGTGTGGTTCAAGTCCTAATAGATCTGAATGTGGAAATTCTGACTGATTTGACTATCCCATTTTTTTAAGTGGATTCAAATACTGAAATATAATCTGATCCATTTTTCAAATCAGTTTATACCAGTGGTGGTACTCAAATAAAGTTGCCACCAGCTCAGTGGGCGTAGCTTGGTGGGCGTGCTTTGCCCGTGTGCACACACTTTGCATACACACGTGTCAAACACGCACTTTGTGCAGGTGCAGAGGCATTTGCGCAGGCGCAAAGGTGTTCTAACTCACCTCCTGTAAGCTGCACGATGCCGGTCGCTGCAGCAGCTGCTGTGCGGAGCTATTCTATGCTGTGCAAAGCAGCTGCACTTTGAATTCTGGCCATAAAAGTGAGTATGGGAGCCTGGGCAGGTGGGTGGGCCAAACACAGAGCAGTGGAGAGAACCAGTTTAGTCTCTGCTGCTCATCACCGCTATCAGCTCTCCAGAACCGGGCAGAACCAGTTGAATACCACCACTGGTTTATACGTGTATGTTCAAATAAGAATCCATGTTTCTATTTATTTCCTAGTGTTTCTGCCTATCCCACAAGATCCAATATGTTTTCAAATCCCCTCTACTGTATGAAACAATGCCATTTGGTGGAACCACTGAAAACTGCTTTAGAAAGGAACATGGGCAGCATATACATATTTAATATTAGATAGATAGATAGATAGATAGATAGATAGATAGATAGATAGATAGACAGACAGACAGACAGATACCCTGTTTCTCCAACAATACGGCCTCCCCAATAGGAAGTCCCAGCATGTTTTATAGGCATGAAATGAAATTAAGCCCCTCCCCCCAAATTAAGGCCTATATTAAAACATGCGAATTGGGGGGAATGGTGGGGGGGGTTGCTGTTAGGAAGTACTCTTGTTGCACACCCAGATACGGTGCTGCCTGCGTTGACCCCGATACGAAGTGCCCCATCAACGCTGAGGTCAACATCCAAGCCATCACCGCCCACCCGCCCAAAGATGCAAGGGGGGGGATTAAGTCACCTCACAAAAGACGGTCTAGCCATTTTTTCGGGGCTCAAAAAAAAATAACACCCACCTTTATTATATGAGAAACACGGTAGATAGATAGATAGATAGATAGATAGATAGATAGATCACACATACATACCCAGGAGGCATGACTTCCTGCCATATGGAACAGCATACACCCTGTAACTTGGAAGAATCTTGTTGCCCTTATACTAAGTCCTGAAAACTTATCTTTGGTCCCTAAGTGTAGAGCCAGGTGTTGGGCCTGTAGCATTTTGTTAAGATCTTGGTGTTCCCTGAACTTAGATATTTTCTCGCAGTTGCATCATTGCACCGATGTTGTCACCTGGCCTGGTAATGAAACATCTGCAGGAAAAGAACCAAGCTTACAGAATACCAAGAACCAACAAATTCAACTTAACATGTGGAACCCATTACATTGTTGCAATTGTGTGTAAATTCAGACTGCACTCTGTCTTTTTGTTAGTTTACTTTGATTAACGGTAATTTTAAGGGTTGAATATTGTGATTGTTAGCTGTGTTTTAATTGTGTATGCCACCCAGAGTTAAATGCAAATGAGATGGGCAGCGATGTAAACCCAGTAAACAAATACACAATCAAACCCAAATCTACCTACATCTTCTACAATATATTATCATTTGGAAATTATTTTTGTGCTTTGGCCTCAGTTGTACAATGTTCTCTGTTGCTTTTATTTTTGTCGGTTGTTCTGTTTCAACCTTATGTTAATTACCCAATCTCAATTTATGAGTCGGACAGCCATATAAATCAATCAGTCAAACAAACAAATCTAACCTGATTCTTTCACTCTTGACTTGACAGTTTCCTTCTTTGCACAATATCATTTGTTGACCTGTCCAAAAGCAGGCATTTCCAATGTTATTTCAGCAAACACTAAACCAAGGTATTTATAGATAAACAGTGTTTCTTTCAGCCTCAACTCACCACATGCAATAAACACCAGAATAATAATATCAGGCTGCTCTACAAAAGTACTGTAAGAAACTTGGTGAATAATTTTGGAAACCTGAAATTTCCTATCGAAATTCTAACTATTATTAGGAGTTCAGTATTCTGTACCCATAGTTTTTCTAGGGCTGGACTGTGATTTCTTGCTCTCTAATTCCTTCCAGCTGTAGTAATTTTAAAGTAATCAGACATGGTGTCATCTCCAAGACATTTTTGTGTGATATCTTTAGGGTACAGGAAAAATATCATCATTTTGAATCTTTCAATGTCAGTGTCAACTAAGACAAATGGTCTTGTTTGAAGAAGCTGATACTGTCCTACACTTATGTGAAGATCATAAAAGATAAAGGTTTTCCTTATCTAGTCCTGTCTACTTTAGGAGGGAGTGCTCATCTCTGTTTATTAGCCAAGGGAGCCAGCGTTGGCCAAAAACAATTCAGTGGTCATGTGGCCAGCATGAGTATATGCCAAAGTACACAAAATACTGTTACCCTCCCACCGAAATGGTACTTATTTATCTACTCGCATTTGCATGTTTTGGAACTGCTAGATTGGCAGGAGCTGGGGCAAGCAATGGGAGCTCACCCCATTGCATGTTGCTCAGGTCTCGAACCTGGACTTTCAGCTGACAAGCTCAGTGTCTTTAACCACTGAGCCATGGTGCCCCTTTGGAGATCATAATGTATCAAAATGGGACATGATTACATTTGAGAAAAACAGCAGATTTTTGTGTGTGTGTGTGTGTAAATACCTATGCAGGAAAATCAGAATCAGTTAAGTTTGTACAGTCAGCATGTGTGCACTTCTGACAACAAAAACACTTACCAGTATCTGTGCTTATCTTTCATAGTAAAAAAGTATTGCACATATTTTTAAAGAAGCTACATATATTCCCTAAAAGCCAACAAATGTAACTATTATATTTTGATGCTCAAAAGCAATGATGAAAGCAATGGACTTCAAGATGTCCCCAGATGTTTGTTGTTGAAAATATCTATCCATCCATCCACCCATCCATCCACCCACCCACCTACCTATCACTATTTGTTACATATGATTCTTCTGCCTGCATATTTGCCCTGATAATTGTAAAGCTGATGAATACAGTACTTCACAGTAAAATAGGGGCGTATATCTGTTTGTACCACATTGTATCCTACATTTTTAAAGATGTATATCTATTATTCAAATGGATATGTATGCATATAAAAATAAAACTACAGGGTTTTTAAAAATCAATATGGGTACCATAGAACATGTATATGGATATGCATATGAGGCAAAAAGCTGTAGATAATGTTGCTTCCTTCTTAGATAATGTCAAGTTGTTGATGAATAACATGTGAATTGTTTAATGTGGCTTTCTTGGATTTCTTTTTATTGAACTATATCACAACCAGGCATTTTGTTTCTTTTAAATGGTGGAGCATCTGCCCAACTCAGTTTTGGCACCTGAAATTAAAAAAAAAAATCCACATATTTTTCTTCCCCTCTTTGGTGATAAAATATGTATCTGTGATTAATTAAATAGCAAACAATTTGCTATATCTTCATGACACGGAAGTCTGTTGAGACAAATGCTTCACTATGCCAACAGTGTCAACAAAACCATACAAATAAGGTGACTTTGTATATCCCCTTGTACAAAACTATTTTTTAAACTTGAAACACTTCCAAAATGACTGAAGCAGCCAGTTGTGAGTGGGATTTTAATTCTGAAGCAGCTTTTTGGAACCTCAAAATGAGGCATATTGAAATGGTGACCATTCAGTTCTGAAATATTTTATATATTCCTCAACCCCTCGTAGTTAATTACAAGATTAATTCCACTGAAGGCAACAGGGTTTAAATTATATTAAGGTCTGATGGACTGTACTTAAAGTTGGGGGGGGGGGGCATTTGCAGTTGTACATTTTAAAAAGGTCTGTGAAGTCCTTGGTGCTCCCTGACCTTGATTTGTTGGCTTGCAGACATTTCATCCTTACCAAACTAGGTAATGCTACCTAGTCTGGTAATGAAACTTCCACAAGCCAACAGCCAAGCTCTAGAGCACCAAGGACTCCACAGCTCAACCCTGAGCTTCAAACATTCTCTTCTATTAAAATATGATGTGTTGGACTACACTTTCCAAAGACAGTGCTGAGCGGAAATCATGGGAGTTGCATCTGGAAGGTGTACTTTGCAGAAGGCTGGGGTACCATCCTGTGCCATCTAACATACTACAAAGTGTCAGCGCAATTAACGTCTTCGCAAACAAGAGTGTCCCACAGGTACAGTCCAGCAAGAAGCTGTTTGATTGGCTGCGGGGTCCTGTTGAAAGTGCGGGGCGGGAGGCGGGTAGGAGACTCGGATTCTTTGTCACGTACCTTGCGGAAGGAACTGAAGAACCCACAGCGCCATTCGGGGAGCACGCCACAAGGCTTCACAAACGCAGCGCACCCAGGAGGCTCCCGTCTTCCCAACCCTATAGTCTGGGGTCGCTTGACCCTTCTCCCAAAGCTCAGGAGACGGAGGTGGAGGCAGGATCTGACCTTCCTACCTACTTTGGCAGCACTTAGTTTACCAAGCCGCGTGCCGCGCGTCTCTTCAAGTCAGCCGCCGCCGCGTCGCCTCTTCTTCCTCCTCTCCCCCGCCCCCTGCATTCCTCCTCCTCCTCTTCATCCCAGAAGAGCTCGCCACGCCGGGAGTCCGCCGGCAAAAGCCCAGCAGGCCTCAGGTTCCTCGCCGTCTCTGCCCCCTCCCGCTGGGCTGAGGCTCGCCCGGGGCTTGCCGGGCGGTGCGCTCGTAGTGCGCAGTGCCTCTGCAACGACGGCAGGAGCCGAAGGAACAGGCGGCTCGCTCGGGGCTGGAGAAGGCAGGCGGCGGCAGCAGCAGCAGCAGTAAAAGCATCGGCGGCGACTCCTCCCCCTCCCCCTCTTCCTGCTCTCCCCCCCGGACTCCGGCAGGCAGGATGGTGGCCGTAGCCCTGCAGCCCTCTGCGGGCCGCGGGGCGGGTCTGTAGCTGGCGTGGGGTGGTGCCCTTTGCAGCAATCGGGAGCCGAAGGCGCCGGGCGCCGGGCGCAGCGCAAAGCGCCCGCGCGCCCCTTCTCCTCTCGCTCTCCATGGACGGGGGAGCGGGAGGTGGCCCCGGGGTGCCCGGTTCTGAAAACCCCAACCGCGCCGTGGAATATCTGCTGGAGCTCAATAACATCATCGAGAGCCAGCAGAAGCTGTTGGAAACCCAGCGGCGGCGGATCGAGGAGCTCGAAGGGCAGCTGGAGCAACTGAGCCAAGAGAACCGGGACCTGCGGGAAGGAGACAGAGAGCGAGAACGGGAGCGACACCGAGATCGCGACCGGGACCGGGACCGGGACGCCCAGTATCACCACAAGGACAGGGAGAGCCACTATCAGAACCGCACGGATCGAGACGGGCAGTACCAGAACCGGGAAGGCCAGTATCCCAACCGTGAGAACCGGACGGACCGCGAAGCTCAGTACTCCAACCGAGCCGACCGGGAGAGTCAATACCAAAGCAGAGCCGAGCGGGAAGGGCAGAACCAGTATCAGCATCGGGACAAGGAACGAGACCTACAGCACTATGGAAACCGGGATGGGCAGTACCAGAACCGGGAGAGCCACTACAGGGAGCCCTGCCAGTTGCATCGAGACCGGGCGCCGCAGTGCCATCAGGCTCGGGAGAAGGAGCACGAGTACCCTCGGCCACCCCGGGAAAGGGAGAGGGGGCAGCTGAACCGCGGGGCGTCGCGGAGCTCCAGTCCTGGGGCAGGCGGAGGCCACAGCACCAGCGCCAGTACCAGCCCAGCCACTACGCTGCAGAGAAAGTAAGAAGCTGGTCCGAGCCTTTTGCAGCCCCTGACCTAGTGCCCTGCCTCCTCCCCTCCTCCCCGGTAGCTTTCCGGCCCAGGGCAGCAGATTCCAGGAGCTCTTGGGGGTTGAGGCGACCATTGGTGGATGCTGGCTGAGTCGTGTACAGTCAAGAGGGAGAATCAGTGCGTGCAACATCACAAGGGACCATGGGAACCCTTTGGAGGATGGTGCGGTGCAGGGGTGGGGGGGTGGGGGGGAGGGAAATCAAGATATTATATGTCGGCTTTCTTGTCACCTTTCTGCCCTACTTTCTTCCCTCCTTTCTAGCTACAATTAAACCTTGCCCCTGCCATACATACACAGACACACAGCCCAACTGCCTCCAACGTCCATAATTAGGTGGATGGTGCTCTACTCTGCCACCCTCACAGTGGGGTCTGTTTTGTTTCCTCAGCTGATTTTCCTTACTAGAGCCCTGCATTGGACCCTGGGTGGGACCCCTCCCCCCCACCCCACTGCAGGCTGCTCCTTGGCCTGTTGCCCAGGAGCTTTTGTGGCCCATTCTCTTCCTTTGACCCTTCAAACTTCAACCTTACTTTCAAGCACCACTTTCCCTGATTCAGCACACTTGTCTTTTCTTTTTTTCCTTTCCTAACTTGCCAACCTGGATTCTTTTCCTTCAACACCTTGCTGGGGCTTGGCTCTCTCATTTTTCTGCAGAGAAGGGAAGACAATGCACAAAAGGTTTTCCCGCTGCAGCAGACCACTCCGGGGAGTGCTTTCTCTTGCCAGCCTGGCATTGTTCACCCCTCTAAACCCCAAATTTAAATTTCACATTCATGCCTTCTAAAAACTCTGAATTCCTTTCTTCTCATATTGGTGCTCCTAAATATTTCCCTCCACAACTTTCATGGCTCTTCCCTCCCTCCCCATAGAAAACCCATAGGGGGCAAAGAGTGATTCTTAAACGAAAGTACATAGCAACCCCAGTGACCTTCTGTTTACTGAATCCTCAGATGAATTCTATTTTAATTGCCTAGCCTTAGGGAGTCATAGGGAAGAATCTTTTAATGGAGTAAATCCTGTTCTTTTGCTGCGTACTGTGTTCTTCTGTCTTTTTTGTTTGGGGGCATGTTGAGTAAGGCCTGCTCCTTCTGCCTGGTTTGCAGTACTTGTATCCATGTCCCTTTTTGCCTTGCCAATCTTTAGTGGCTAATCTTTCTCCAGAGCTTCCTTTAATGGGATAACTCACAATCTGGACATTGAACTGTGCCTGGTGGGACATGACTTCAATGGGCTCCAGCAGAGAGAGTTGGTGTCAGACTGAGGCACAAGGGACTAGGCATGCATAGAATGTGGGTGTGAAATGGTACTGCATGGGCATGTGCTGAGGAGTGAGCTCAGGAAAATGTGGTCGCTGGCTGGGGAAGAGATGTAGTTGACTTAAGATGCAAGTAAAAGCATTTTTTTAGTGAGTTTGAGAAAAGAGAGAAATCTTTCCAAACTCACTGTCCTTCAGATATGTTGAACTGTACTTTCATCATCCATGGCGATGTAGCCTCAAAGTGATAGGAATTATAATATATCTATTCTGGGGGAAACAGCTTTGAAAAAAATGAGTGTAGTTGCTAGGGTGTGAGAATCAATTATAATAATCACACATTTGGCACTATCCACATTATTACTGGAATAGTTGCAGCCATGCAAGATAGGCCAGCAGTATTACATTCTTAATCAACATTTGTAGGAGAACAGTGACGTGCCTGAAGCCTTCAAATGAGCTGTTATCAGAGGCAACATTCACACCTGTGATCTTCTTACCACCTAACAAAAAGCTAGATTATGTTATAGAGCATTATTTTTCAAACTGATAATTCTGTTTCTTCCAACTACTGGATTCTGATCTCAGGATCCTCAGAGCATCCTGGGATTCCTTGTCCGGGCTCTTTCTGGGACGAAATGAACAACCTGCAAGCCATGTATATTTCCTTAAGCTTCACTTAAGCCAGGGGTCTCCAAACTCGGCCATATTAAGACTTGTGGACTTCAACTCCCAGAATTCCCCAGCCAGCTATGCTTAAGCGCTCTCTGATTGTGTAGCTGAAACTTGGCAATACTGTGGCTGAAGATCAGTGGCCCAGTTTTGAGATGAATGACATAACCACATTGCCACGTATGGGGTTGGTTGAGGGTTATGGGGATTGCAGTCAGACCCATCCAGAGGGCACTGGTTTGGGGAATGCTGCACGAGGGTATCTGATTTAATGCCATGCCATCTGACTCTGTGCACCATAATTGATAGTTCCTAGCTGGAGAATCATAGAGTTTGAATGCCAGCATCCCTGCATCTGGGACATGGATTCCAGAACAGGATCAACTCTCATGGTCCACAAGCTTGGATTGAAAGCTAAGAAGCAGTTATGCCTGCGTAATTAAGCATCTTCCCTCATAAGGAATGGATATAGGGATGGCTGTGTGGGGTAGGAATTGATGGATCTGGCCGTTCCTGTTCTCTCTTTTCTCTCTCCTCATTGCCGCCTCCTTTTTCTGGTTAGAAATTAGCAAAGTGGTTTGATGCTGCAAATGACTTAAAATCAGCACAAATGTGTCTTGCCATTCCCACCCACTCCCTACCAACACTGGGGAGGTTTAAAAAAAAAAGAAGCCTGAAGTAGCAATGCGGGTGGGGTGGGGGGAATGACTGATCCTTTTTTTCCATGCTGGCAGAAAGCTAGAAATTACTAGAGACAGTCCCCTCTTTCCTCAATCTAACTAATAACATGACTTTCCTTTCTGTTTTTATTCTGAGCAGGGAAATAGTCTCTAAGATGTAGTTGGTAACTGCAGTTATTTTAGCTTAATAGTTAAAAGTGTGACTGGTGCACCTTACCTGAAAACCCCTTTCTAGGTTTCATTTCAGCTCTAATCTTGTTCAGTAGTCTTAAAGTAATATTCATCTTTCAGGTCTTCGTTTGCAATAGGGAGATATTTAACACCAGTTTATCTTAAAAGGCCAAGGGAAGAGTAACAAAATAGGCATACTTGCCTTGATAAATAGTCATCCGGGGTTTAGTGTTATAAAGGATAACTTCCTACAGCATGTAGAGAGCAGTAGAGGTCTTCCAGTGCCCCAATCCTTATCAACCTCTGGGGGTTAGAGTGAGGTGTCTGTCTCTACTGCCTTTTACACTGCTTCCAAGTGGAGTATTTGCAAGGGAATTTCTTTTTCATTGGTCTGTTGTGATTGCCGCATGTGACAAAACATGTGGTTCAAATCTTCTCACCCAGTTTTTTTTTTTTTTTTACTAACAGCTTTTTATAATTTTTTTTGTAGACAGATCTGGGTAATCTGCTAGAAGCACTGGGCTGGACTGTGTTCCAGAGGCAGTTAACGGGGCAGGTTTGCTAATTGAGGAAACTAACTGTCCATCATAAAATACACCTTGCTGGGTTTGAGACATAGAAGGAGCAATCAATCGGATGCAATACTCTACTGCTATGGCTTGCAAATATGTGAATGGAAAAGAGAAGCAATGGGTTTTCTGCCTTGATACCTTCTGCTGTTGTGCATAGGTTATCAGATATTTCTGAGGAGTGCACTATGTAATGCTGGAGAATCACAAGCTCATTGACCCCAAGACCATGAGATAAAAAGCAAAGGGAATTCGGCATCCTTTATAGCCAGAAATGTGGGAGTCTGAGGCCCAGTCTAATACAGGGAGTTTATAAATTGGGTTAGTACTGCAATTGTATTGGGGTTCATCTGTTTGTGGGCTCTACCGTGTGCTGTAGCTAACTCTCAAACACAGAGCCTACTCACATAATGTATCAAAACATTGCTAAATACGTTTTGGCCTTGTGTATTGTGCAAACTCAACCCATATGGCTAGTTTGTGGCTAGGTTTAGCACAAAATAATATGGACGCTCTTTTTAAACAGCAGTTATGCCTGTTTCCTTTCTTCTTATTCTAGGACAGAAGTATATATTGTGAGGTAGGCATATTGTTAATATAAAATATGAGGTTGGATTTTAGGCAATATCACTATGCCAGTAATCAGCTTGTATAACCCTTGATCACAATAAAAATAGAAAATGGATGGTCACATGGTGAGTAAGGTGTTGAAGATATGGCCAGTCAGGCATTTTTAATCCAGTCTTAATATTAGGAAAAGAGTAGCTTTATTTTTTTTAAATAATTTTCATTAAAGTGTTTTTAACAAGATAAAAACAATACAAATTTTAGAGAAGAAACAAAAACAATAAATAAAATAAGGAATAGATAAGGAAAGCAAAGAAAGAAAGAAAAAAGATTTGAAAGAAGTGGCTTCCAGTCTATGCTTATAACTGTAACGATCACATGACTGTAACTATAACGAGGGTTATAACTGTATTTATATTTTGTCCCCCTCTAAGATTACATCATAATTTCCTTCTTTCCGTAGTGTATCTGAACTTTCTAAACATCAAACCCTTAAATCAGAATTTAATGCTAATTCTATCATCTTTACAAACCATTCCTCCACTGTTGGCATTTCAAATTTTGTACATGTAATCTTCTGGCAGGAGTAGGCATAGAGCAGATTTAAACCTGCCTGTATCTAGGGGTGCTCTGGGTTGCTAACTCTCTGCCTTCCATAAGACCCCAAAGGAATGGATGCTTTCTCTGTCATATACACACCATCAAGGATAGAAGGTAAAAAGAGGGGATAGATTGCGGGAGAAACAAGGAAGTTATGGGCACAAGCTGTCACTAGGTATTCTAGGCATTGGACCCTGGATTGTGGTGTTCTTTTTAACCAAGCACCACCTATTTTAGCATCATGTCTAGTTTGCCCTGGAATGTTAATCAAACATTGATTTGTTGGGTAGCTGCTTAGAATTGGGTAGTAGGGCAGATGGATAGCAAGGAGTAAATAAATCTTATTACACTGCCCAACTCATGCATTTTGGTTAGCAACATGGAAGGCCTCCTAACTAAAGACTGAAATGGGGTTGAGAGAAGGTCATGCAGCTTTTCTTCACATCTTGGTTTTATGCAACTTTGGAGTGTGTGTGTGTGTGGGGGGGGGGTTTGCCTGTAAGCTATTTAGATCTGGTTCACAGAAATTTAGCTCCAGCAATTTGGAATCATGTTAGATTTCATTCTTTTCCCAGCTCCAGTGAACTTCTTGAATTACAAATCAATATTAAGTAATCAAAGCAGAGGATCATTTTTGTGTGAACTAGCCTTTTTGTCAGTAGGGTCTTATGAAGTCTAAAATCTTTCTCTTTCACAAAAAAGCAGCTGTCAGGACTGTTGAAACTTCATAGCATTCTCCATAGCCCAACAAAATTATGACCATTTATTCTATACAAACATAGAAGGCAATAGCTACTCATCAGGGATTGTTTGGGCGTGTTAGTGTCAGGGTGCATTGTGGTTTGCTTCTCTGGGTGTTGTGGTTGTCTGCATGAAAACAGTCTTGCCTACCCTTGGGGAGGTTGCTCAGCAGATGTTCTTGCAGCTGTTTCTCCAGAAAGCAGCCACATTTTGCATCTTGAAAAGCAACACATCCCTTTATAAACAGCTCTGCCTCTCTACCATCCCTAGAGACAGGATCTTTTATAGGTCAGTCACCAGGTCTATATTTACCTGAGAATAAGTCTCACTGAATTCATTGTGCTTTATTCCTGAACAAGTAAACATGGACTGCAATTGCCCCACCCAGCATTTTACTGAGAAACTGATGGCACTTTCAATAGGATCTGAAGTCAGTAGTACGATACTTCAGTCAGCTCCAACTCAGCTCTTTCAGAGTGAGCTCCTTCCTGGCTTGTTAACTACATAGATAGTATCTCTAGATTGCAATATGGATTAGTCCTAAACCAAAAAGCAATTGCGAGTGAACATTGAGTAAGAAATGTTCACATAGCTTTATAGGCCAGAATTTATTTGATTAGCATCAGATTACTTTAATAAATGTAAACTTGAGTGTAAATCCTGTGAATGGAATGATAGAAATGCAAATCTGAATTTATATCCCTTTCCAATATATTTCCACTAATTGCTGCTAAAATACTGTTACAGCCTGCTGACTCGAATGTGCCCTAAAATAAAAATACATATTTTTGCTTACTCAAATGTAGCAGAGTCTGCTGCAGCAAGCTCTGAAAGAAAAAAAGGAAAAATATATGCGGTTATATGATTTAAAATACTTAAATACTCGCATCCCAGTGTTTGACACAAGTATATAATTCATGGTATTAAAGACATAATATCATGACACGTATTTCTCCACTTGCCTCCCCTTTCTGTCCTTTACGAATTCTGATGGGAATTACCAGATGCTAGGCGGCCCCATCAACATCCATTATAATCTATGATAATTTAGTTGGAAGGGAAGTCAAATGGACAAGTTTTTAATGAGTGCAGAAGAGAGATAAGGCAATGGACAAGGTGGGATTTTCTTTCCCACTATATAAAAAAAAAAGCAGTCAGGAAACAGAATGGTACTTCATCTGTGGCGCTTGGCTGCAATTTTTCTGCATGAGGTGCTGAACACAACAAAACCAAATAAATAACATGGTAGTATCAAAGCATTACACAGAATATAGAAATTGTCAGCTGGAACTATATTTGGAAACTACAATTTCACATCCCAAGCAGTGCTTGTATTATGCTTCTCCTTTTGTTGAAGGAACCCTTGATTGATTATATAGAACTGTAAGGCGCTATGGAACAATTTGTAAGTCTAAGCCCTATTGCTATTGCCATTATGTCCATCAAATTATTTTTGATTCCTAGAGACCACATACATAGATTTTTCTCTATGATGATCAGTCCCTAACCTTGATCTTTCAGGTTTTCCATTAGTGAACCCATCACTACTGTAATTGAGTCCATCCACGTGGCTGCTGGTCATCTTCTTTCCACCTTTCTAAGCATTAGAGCTTTCTCCAGAGAGATTAGGCCCTTGCATGATGTCTCTTGAAACCAAAGCAGGAAGAGAGGAAAAAGATAATCTTCTCCAGCAAATGTTCTTTTGCATTTAGTTGCTTCTTGTGCTGTTAGGAAAGAAGGTAGTTCATTAGATTTGTGTGCGTGTGATTTATTTTATTTAGTTCCAGTCATGAAAACCATAAGCACTGGTGCCACGATACATAGGAAAACAGATGAGTGTCCCCCCTAGGGTCTGTGGTTTCTTGGTTAGAAGAGATTGATTTGGTTCTGGGAGGAGGGGAAAGAGGAACCGCCTGCAAATCTTTTCTTGCATGTATTGCTTAAAATGTTCCCCAGTTTGAAGGGGAGGAGCTATTTGAAGCTGGCAAATGAGATGTGGCTTGTCTGTAATTTGGGCCTCTATCTTTTTAAACTTGGATTTAATCCCAGAATTGAAGGAAGGGTGCACAGATTTGAAATTGAAGCTGAGTGGCAAAGAAAGAGTAAAATTGCTGTGTGATGAATCACCATTGACTCTAACTCAGACACAGGGAAAGCTTTAATTCAAGAGAGGCTCATTCTTTCTTTGTTTTCAAGAAGCCTGGGACATAAATAAATAGAAGAGAATTTTGGAGCGTACCTGGAGTGCAGTTATCCTACCTTTGGGTAAATTGGGCTCCTAATATTGAATGGCAGGAATTCCAGAGTACCCAAGCTGAGAAATGCATATTTGTAGTATAGTAAGTGTACATACCTTTAATTAAACAAAATATAACAGCATCTTGCTATATTGCAAAAAAAAAAAAATCCTGTTAAGTAATTTAGAGATTCAGTGTAGTCTACAACATAAGAATTGCAAATTCTCCCTTCTGTGTAGATTTGCCCCACTTCTTGCCAACCCTACATAAAAATAGTTCCACTATTATACACTCTTCATGATATAGCACATCATGCTCTGATTATTCAAATTACATTGCATAATTCATTTTACTAATTTTTGAAAGAAACAACAACATAGTTTGATATTAATTTTCCGAGAAAGCTTTACTTTAGGTGGAAAAGTGGTTTGCATAAACATTTTCTTGGTTCACAGCTCTCATCAAAGATGCTAAATCATCTTTGGTAGCAATAGATTTTGTTTTGGACTCACTGTTTTAATAATTAAGTTAGATTAATCACAAACGTTCATTTTCCAGCACTGGCTATAGATCAACGGTATCTCACTGCTCCAAAAACTCAAGAGAAGGTAGATCGTATACAGGTAGTCTTTAACTTATGATTACCTGTTTAGTGATAATTCAAAGTTACAACGGCATTGGAAAGAGTGACTTACAACCAGTCCCCACATTGTGACTGTTGCAGCATCTCCACAGTCATGTGATCAAATTTTGGGCATTTGACAACTGGCACGTATGTGTAATGGTTCCAGGGTTACGTGATTGCCATTTGTGACCTTCCCAGGTGGCTCCTGACAAGCCAAGATTCACTTAAGGATCACGTGATCTACTTAACCACCAGTGTCAAACTCATGGCATCACGTTGCTGTTTCCTAGGTGCATTACTCTTAGAGACTCACAGGCATGTTTCTGATTGATCATTCCTGGGTATGATCCTGTTGTTCAAACACACCTGGTATGTAAATAGACTTACTGGGTAAAACTTACAATTAAGACTGTAAGGCTGAGATTTGTTTGAGCATACAGGGAAGAGAAAGAACAGGAGATAAGAATTCCTCTGGTTGGCATCCCATATCATTCTGTAGTACTTACCAGTGGGCTGGACACATGTGTCATATCTCTGCCAATGAAATGACAGTAAAGAGATTTTCTACTGTCTTTTTCCAGTCCAGGGTATCTTCAATTTGCAATTTGCCTAATAGGTTAATTCCAGGAATAAACAGGTTTAATCCTGCAAAACCTGCAAAAATCTAGATGACCACTAGGTGATAATAGAAATCAAAACTCCTTATTACCAACAAAGAATATTTGTAGCTCAGATTTGAAATGAGGGGTCCTTGGTGCTTTCTGAGCTTGCTTGTTTTCTTGCAGAAAACAATTTTCACTACCCATACTAACTAGGGAACATCATCAGTGCTAGTAAGGAGTGGGGTTTGCTGTCGTTTTATATTCTGATGCCTTCCCTGTCTGTGTGGGTGGGGGCAATCTTAGAGATTCTTTATTTGGGCTGTTTACTGATGGCTCTTTGGCAGTTTGGGGTATTGCTTACTTGATGGTTGGTCTAAAGTTAACCTTGTTAACTCCTTTGTTGCTGCCTATGTCTGAATTCATGTGATCCAGCTATGGTAGTCCAAATCTTGTGTGGATCACCAAGCTGTGACAGATACACGGTTCCTGTGGGTAAACTGTAAGGGGCAAGATTTCAGCTTCCCTCCCAGCCCAGGAATTTTCTGTGTAGATACTTCCAAAAGAAACAAATAGGATCTAATCATTTAACATGTTAGCTGCCGCTTGCAATTTGGAATGGTGTACCCCATACCCAGGTTTAATACCCCACAAACCTATTTCTTCCTGAAGCAAATCACATTGTTAATTAAATTGCAATATTTATTACTTCAGATAACATTTCCTCTCTTCAATAATTCAGCAAAACACATGTATGTAATAATAATAAAAAAACCCAAAGGAAGCTATTTAAATTATGCAAACATTACCCTGGTTAATAATACCTGCTGCTTTGGTGGTTCCTACATGTATGTATGTCCTGGTAGCAAACACTGTCCTGGGTGCAATTTTAAGAAGACCTGTTTGTACTGCATGTGAAGCTATCCTTGTTTTGGCTGGTATTTGTGAAACCCGGCCATACAATAATACTTCTACACTAATCCAGTCATACAATAAATCTTAACTCATAAAACACGGTATAGGTTTCTCTCAATGATGAAATCCAAATCCAGCCAATTTTATTATACTAAATCATGATCTAACAAATTGTGCAAGTTAGAGTACAAAGCTTGAGTTACTTTGTGGAAGTTATTTTGTGGAATAATACACATATTATTCTAATCTTTCTTCAAAGAGCTGAACCAGAATTCTCTTTTCTTTTATTCTGTTACAAAAGGCAGCAAAGACAATGGTGATACAGCGTTCAGCCAGTCTCTTTCTGGCAAAACCAGAATGAGTTCAGTATTTCCGGCTCAGAGTTGAAAAAATTCTCAAGTAGTTTGATTACTAGAATTCATACCTGGAACTGAGTAATATGTATTATAACAATAAAAAATGGGAGAGGCAGGATAGCAAATCCCCTTGAGGAAAGACCACAATGATACATACTATAAGCTCTGGATCTTAGGGGCTGTCAATTCGGGAAGAGTGGTTACTGCTTTGATTAGGAGGGATTACTGAGCATTTGACAGAGGCAGACTCATATGGGAGAACCTCATAATTATTAGATGTTAATTAATAAATGAACTCCCTCTTGTTGCAATCTTATTTTTTCCAGTCTATTTTCCCTAAGGTAGATATGGCAATTTAGAGCATGGCTGCCATAATACTCAGAATTCTTCGGTAATCAGATGTGGCCTTGAGAAATATGAAAAACTATGGTTTGTTCAATACTGCTTTAAGAAATAAACCACAGTTGATTGGGTTTGTGCAACATTGTAAGCCATACACTCTTATTTACCAGCCCCCATGCATGAGTTCACCAGTCTCCCAGATATAGTGGGTTAGTTTTGTCTTAACGCAATACATGAATTCAAGCTTTATTTGCCTGTTATTATTATTTGCTCCTGTCATCTTAGCTTTGTTCACAAAGGTGTGGCTACATAATTATTTATAAACTTTCCGGTAGCAGGGAAACTTTATTGGTTCATGCATCCTGCTTAGCCACAAAGTGATTTGTTTGGTTTTGCAATTTTGTGTTGATGGCAGAATCTAGCACTCCTTCCATAGAAATCAATAATCTAAACAGTGCTCTGGTTTTCTTGCCCAGGCCATCAGTCTTGAGCCTTGTTGCTATTTTGTTTTTCCATCAACCCCCCCCCCCCCACCAGCCCCATTCCTCTCCTGCTGCTGTATAGGGCTGCTTCTTGAATTAGCCTGCCTGTCGTTTTCAATTAGGGAGCATCTCCATTGCAGACGGCTGGCTAGCCATGACAGGGACAACAAGGTTTGATTTGCAGCAAGGGGGCACTGAGCTGCATCAGGAGAGAGCTATAATATGCTTGGCAGAGCTCCTGGCAAGGCAGGGCGTGCTCTGGAGAAGAATTGACACAAGGACTTAGGCTACCTACATAAGCTCACACCCTTGCATTTAGCAGAGATTATCTGCAGTAACATTGTATGTGGCATCCCTTCATTCCCTCTGCATGCAACAGCTAAAGGAAAGTACAGGTCTC